GAACAGTTCCCAGTGCCAAGCAATACTGCTGCAAGTAAAATAGGTAATAGCGTCATTTCGTTGCTATGGCAACTCCGATGTTATTGCAACCCTGATCATAACAAATTTTCATCTTTATCTAATACAACTGTGGTGGCAATTTTTCCAAATCTTTGTTTATGGCGACGTAGTTCATGCTCAAACTTGGGAGGTATTGATCCTGTCAAGTGAAAAACTGTATCGAGCCACCTTAAGTTCGCACGCACATGTCATTGTATCATCCGTCTCCCGATACATCAATGANTAATACGTAACCTATAGTGAGATTTTCAGTTAAAATTGATTTTTTTGATTGAATTTTTTAATTTTTTTTTTTAGGTGGGTTGCGCTTGAACCTCGATGCGCTTTGGTTATTAAGAATCTTTTACGGGCTGCAACACTTGCTGGTTATAGTAATTTTTACACCAATTTGTTTCATATTTCTAGGTTTGATGGTACAAAGCCGTGTTTTGTGCGAAAAGAATGCCGCTGAATTTTTTAAAGTTCATCATGACCTATTCGTAGGTTGGCTGGAAATGTGGAAGAGACTTGCAAGACTAATGAGAGCAGGCGTGCAAGAAATAGACCTTTCGTACCATGGGATTTCTAGTCTAGCTATTCCAATGTTAGGTATGGGTCCATTGGATGTTGACGGCTTCTGTTCGCTTCGCAAGTTGGATTTAAGCCACAATCAACTAGGCAAACTCTCTGAATCAATTGGTTCTCTACTTTCCCTGTCCCACTTGTTCCTTAATGACAATTACTTTTCATCACTACAGCCTATAATTATAAGACGACTGGTAAACCTGCAAGAGTTGGACTTGCGGAATAACAAATTAAACAACTTTACGGTGGATATCACTGAGCTGAGTTGTCTTCGAAGGCTAAGTGTCCAAGGAAATCCTCTAAAAGATGATGAAACAAGAAAACTGATGAAGCTCGCCCATAATGAGAGATGGATAGATATTGCAGGTGAATGTAAAATCCTTTAGTAGAAATTTGGTAAAGTTGTGGACAAGCATACAGTAAAACGTCTTCACAACGGCCCTTCTGGGTTATTGGGAGGTCGTCCGTGATGTAATATAACATCAGGTTTACATTTGGAAAGGATATAGCCTGTTCCAGGCTCTCAGATAGTGGGGGAAGACGCGAAAGAAAAAGGCACCCGAAAAGTTGGCGGGGCGGGAAAAAGTTTCCGCCCATTTTATTTTCGTGTTTCCTCAATTCAGCGGACCCGACTATCTCGGAGCCTGGAACAGGCTAGAAAGGATACAATAGTTTTAGCTTCAAAAACTCATGCTTCAGCGATGCTTGGTGGTTAGGGCATTATTAATACGTAACACAATCAATATACCTTATTATAGGAAATTAACGCTTCATGAAATTAACGCGAATCGTTAAAATTCGCGTTAATTTAAGTCGCTTTAATTTTGTTGAGCGTTAGTTTCCGCGACGTTAATTAAGTGCAGCGTTAATTTCCGCGCTCTTAATTTCCAGTATTTTAACCCCAATTTTGGAACCTGTCCAGACATTCTTGATACCTAAAAAACATTAACTACAAGCTTTCTTTCTTTCCATTTACCCTTTATTTTAATTTCATCTTTCACAAAAGCTAAGGCGAAGGTATACAATATTTCGAGTTCATTGAGCTATTTTGAAAAAAATAGCTCATATGTCAGTGGTGTGAGCGTATGTATCTTTGTGGCTTTGTATCTTTGTATGTTGGGATGTTTGTTGCAAAAGCGAATAAAGTTGAAGGTACTATGAGTTGATGCTTAGGAACCAATGAGATCTTGGCATCTATTTAAACATGGCATTGGCAAAGGTCGAACAAGGGCACTTTGAGACCGCCATCTTGATCCTTCACATTTTTTTCGTCTTTTATTACGGGTACAGGTGTTTGAAAGCATTACATAAAATATCTTCATGATTCAAACGCTGTGAACAGTGATGCAGCTATTTAAGGTTTCATATTTAAGTGTGGATGCTGCTTCGAGGCATTTCTGACCTAATTCGGCTATCGGTACAACGCACGACAGTATGAGTTCTGTTTCACCTGCTACAACTGGATAGAGTATAAAAGATCATATAATTTCAAATCTCTTCCAATGAAGCAATAATTGATATTTAGATATAGACTTTAATTCGAAAGCATGCGCCCTATAAAATGTGGTTTTAGAAGTTTAAAAGGCAGCTTATTTTTTTGAAAGCTGTATCGAGTAATGTTAATCCTGTAAACAAGCTTTAAAAATATAAGCCAAAATGTGACTCACCGAATACTGAATAGTCACGAAATACCAGGATTTTTATCATTGTGATAGATAGTTGCATCATCATAATTCACGAGGTTTTCACGTGCGATTCTACACTGTGAAACAGTCTTTAACTCCGACAACTTATTTCTTCATGCTTTAAAAGCTATTTCTTCCTAAAAGACAAGAGCCTTTTTTAAGGCATTGGCTACAAAACGAAACAGGTCTTCATACGTCGAAGTTACTATTTATCATTGGGAAAAGCCAATCTGCATGAGATGTACTGTCACACAGCTGGCACGTGAA